TTTTGAAGGTGTTGCTCTTTCTGTTGACTCTGCTTGGGAAGTGAAGGAGGCCGTACGCTCAGAGCTCTGCTGTTAAGGGTGACCAAAATAAACTTGAAGTTGCAATTTCTTTACAGCAAAGTTAAACAGTAACCTGACTTGTGGGGTAGGCTTCATGGGGTTGCAACACACAGTGGTCTGCTTTCCGTTTACGGCGTAGATCTAATTTTATCTATATAAAGATATAGGTATATATGTAGATATAAGTTTGTCTAACGATAACAATTTCAGTGATACAGCCCCTTTATTACAGCTGACCATGAGTTTGCTTCAGAATGTACTTGGGAATTCATATGACTGATTGATGGACAATCCTAATGCTGGTTATCAGCTGGGGGAAGAGTTATTCCAGTTAACTCCAGCTGGTTATGTAAATGTTTGATGTTACATGCAGATGTTTGCTGCTGTGTGTGTGTGTGCGCATCTCTCTGTGGGCTTGAGTTGACACAGTCTAGCAGTATAATTTCTGATGATCTTTGCACCTACCTAATACTATTTCTATTTCTGTGTACATAGCTAGGAAATTGCTGTTTATCAAAGATACCCTTTTTAAAATCATAGTTCAGGTGCACTGATTCTGGCAAATGCATTGTTTTATTTGGCATCCTATGTCTGATGTGGGCAGGCAGTTTAACTTTTGATTAATATTCCAGGTGCTGTTACTTCCTCAAAACTCATATTCTTCAAGCAGCTGACCAGTGATAAACAGTTTTCTTCATTAAAAATCAGTTGCCAGGTCACCTTGGGTTTCCCATGAAGGAAACTTGAAGCTGAGTTCTCTTCATTAGTGTGTAAACTTGTATTTGCTGTCTGTCAGAATGCTTCAAGTCAGTGGGATGCTTTCAGAATTGATAGTAGTCCCTCACTGAATGGAGTTGTACAAATTGCAAGTCCAAAGTGTCATGAAGCTTAAACAGGAAAATTGAACTACTGACTTTTCCCAGTTTCTAAGCTTTTTCCACTTTCTTCTGAGTTCTGTGATATTCTCTATACCTTGATGTATAGAACAGCTTTTTTAAAATAATGAAAACTGAGATTATGTTAGCAGAGGTGTAAGAAAATCATCAGAAAGTTTACAGCGCATGACAGAATGATGGAGTTTGGCAACACAGCCTGTAGACTGTTAGAAAAGCCAGCTTGGGTCTGAAATTTGTGGCTTAATTCTTAATTCCACTGCCTTTTCCAGTTCCTTAAATAATACCTTTCTAAATCACCTTGTTAACTGTAAGCATATAGCAATGGCCAGAAAACTTGTATTTTGTAACAGGGGCTTTTATCTGCCCCTGTGTGCCTGGGAGCTTTTGCAATACAGGACATGTGCCTTTATACCTCTGCTGAACTAAGCTTGGGAAGGTGTGATTATTTTTTTTCTTTTAGCAAAAGCATGGATTTTTGTCTATGCCTTTTTACTTCCAGGTCTGCATCTCTTCAAGGCCTTCTTCAGAAGTGGACGTGCATTCTTGTCACTAAAAACTACTTCAGTGTCTCAGTATGGATGCACATAAATTTCTTTATCTCTAATTTCTGTATCTACATTACGTAAAACCTGATGCAAATTCAGGTAAATTTCTATCCACCTTTCAGAAACATGCTGAAGACACCCCATTTTTGGGTTCTCCCTGTTTCAGTTAATTTGTGTTAAAACATGTCATTAACTAACCAGTGGTGAGTGTGTACATTGACTGTCTGCATTTCTTCGGCTTTGTGTAAGGCTGTAAGAATGAGACCCAACTGTTTGATTAGCTCAGGCCATGATTCAAGGAGACTTCTCACTTTAAATCTATGAGGAAAAGGTTTGTGACAAAAGTTTATGTATGACAAAGTTTGGTTCTGAATAATTTTTTTTAATAGACTGAGATACTTTGAGGGACAAAAGTAGAAGTGGGAAATGATGGTTTTCTGAAGTGGTATGCTTGGTAGCTTCTCTACCATGCTTTTACAGCACATACATGTGTGTATGGGGAGTGTGTACATACTATTCTGTACCTTTGTACTGTATTTCTAAAATTATAACCGGCAGAAGGTGGGAGGTGAGGTGGTGCTGCAGCATGTGAGCAGCACAACAGAAGGTGCAGACAAGTTCTCTTGCGCTGAGCCATACAGAATTTGCAAAGCCGAACTCTGGCAACTTTTGAGCATGGCTTCTTAATGAGCACATCGTTAAGAATTCTGTAACAAACCCCACCACACACTCTTCCTCATCCAGAGGGTATCCTGCAGCTGGGAACTGAGCATATGTGGGCATTAGACAACATGACACTTCTTGTGAGCATAAAAGATGGTAACAATAATTTCTTCTGACTTTCTAATTCCTCATACACCATAGCTAGATGAGCAGAGTGGTGTTCTGCCATTTGCCTAACTCATGGGCTGCTGCTTTGCAGCTGCTGCTTTCCTGGTGGTGACTGCATCTCAGTGCTCCTATGCCCTTCAATCCCACCCAAAGGTTTTTAGGCTGAAGCACATGAATATTTGTGAAGCACTTGGCACATCTTCAGTGGTAGGTGCCACTGTACTGCAATCTTTCTGGGCTTGATGCAGTTCTCTGAATGCACCTTTAAGTATGGTGCACTTAGAATTCTAAATTTAGTTTATTACAAACTTATTTCCGAAAGAGATCCGGCCTGAACTTACATGCAAGCTCTAGCATGTGTTTGTAATTGAAAACACACTACAAGACAGGATATCAATTTAATTTAGATTTTGGTTGATTATCAGATAAGTTTAATTCAGAAAGGAAGTGATACCTAAGTATGAAAGGAAGCACTATTAACTAGTGAGCAGGTGGACTATTCTTGTTAGCCTTCCTGTGCTGGGCAGGAATACACAAAATTGAAAGTCCATGCATTGTATGCCTTCCAGTTGAAAGCTCTTCTTGGCTCTTTCAGGGTTTTACTGATTCACTATTAAGGGAAGAGTTATAGTTGATATTTAACCAATCAGCCTTTGGGACTTTTCTTTTTGGTGCTAAAAAGTAAATAGTGTTAAGTCTAAAGATTGGTTTCAGAAAGGGGTTTTGTACTCCCAGTTGGTGAGAAGATGAAGTTTTGAATGTGCAGAAATACAAGAAGGGGGCAACTTCTGAGAAAGATCAGCATTTGGTGAGTTTGCTAAATTTTGCTTTCAGTAGGTAAAGTCTTATATTCACTGTTATGTGAATACTGGTTTAGAGAAAGGTGTTTTTTATAAACCTCACCCCTTCTTTAGGGGGCGGGAGGCAGGAAGGGGGCCCCCAGTGTAATTATCTGGGATTAGCTAGCCAGCCTAGCGTAGTCAAGGTCAAAACCTGGAGCTGAGCACTGCCTCTGTTCAGCGAGCAGTTCATGTTACTTCCCTGCACGTGCTTGGCTTTCAGCAGGTGAGAAGCCCTGGTGAACTTGGCCAATGTTAAGCCACTGATGGTGGATGATGGTGGTCTCTGCGAGGCTTGTGCATCTTACCGTGTGCAAGCCATTGGTTGCCAGCCTGTGTGCTAGTTTTGTACCTCGCACAAGAAGCTAGACCCTGAATTTCTGCAGCCCTCCAAGCACAGCAGGAACCTCTCAGACTTTACACAGCTGCCCGAGGACTGAGTGCTGTCGGGTGTAAGTCAGTGTCCTTCTGAGTGTGGTAACTTGAATGAGAAGACCAGCAAAACTAAGTTTTAGAAAAAAACAGTTCATTATTCATCACCTCTGGGTGATGCAGCACAAACTTGGGGAGAAATACACATCTGCCAGGTATCATAGAAGACCTCTTCTGCAATGGGGAAAAAGAAGGGGAGTGGAAGTCTGTTTTGCATGTTTGGCATGAGGTCCTCACCCTGTCCCTTTGCATTCCCTACAGTGGCTTGGAGCCATTCATTGATGTGTGCTTAGATGTTTGTGAAAGCTTGGTGGAGATGTCAGGAAACACAACCCTGAGCAGGAGAGAGTTGGCTTGAGTTCAGCTGCGCTTAGAAAACAGGCAACCAATATTTGCTAAATGCAAGTTGCCGCGGTAGGGTCCAGTTTTTGAAAAGCACTGGTGCTTAAGTCCACAGTTAATTACAGGGCCTTCTGGATGTAGAGCTACGTCACTGCCAAATCAGATGTAAAAAGAGGAGGCATTTAAGTTTCCTCCCTCACAAAGGAAGTAGTGAGCATGAAGCCTAAAAGTCACTTCTCTGCCCTGGCGGGAACAAAAGGGAAGCTTATGTTCTGAAGCTGGAAACTGGAGGGAGTTCTCTAAGTGATCTTTTCAGGTCATCACATGCTTTGTTACCACCAGTAACAAGTCCCATCCCCTCCTTGCCCCCGGATTCAAAATAGCTCCAGGCAGAGGGAGGTTTTCTCTGCAGTGTTGCTTATCAGATGATATGAAAAAACACTGCCTTCAAAATACAGCCTTCAGCTTTGCTAGTTCAGTTTCCTTAATAGGTGTCTGATTGTCTCACCTGCTGTTTTTCTCTGTTGGTTAAAAGTTAAAACTAGCACTTTGTAAAACAGTGGTGACTGCAGTTCTTATTTTTAATGTGCTACAGCTACGAGGTGCTATGAAGAGCCTTGTTAAGGTAGTGATGAAGTGGTGTGGAAGATGCACCACCAAAATATGTAATAGTGTGGTAGGAACACGCTGCTTTCCTGCATGTACCATCTATGACTGTCCCGTGCAGTCTGCACTGCTGTGGTAATTCACAGGCTTCCTGTTAATCATGTAATGAGGAAAATACTGACTCCTAAAAGGAATTCATACCTCTCTAACAGCTGCGAGCTTCTCACTGTTTTAGCAGCACCTTGAGGGGGGAGGTGGGGGCAATCTTCACCCTTTCATTTCCTCTTTACATGGCCATTGTGGTGCAAACGGAATGTGTTAGGAGATGAAGGACTCATTGCCTGCTTCTTGATTGTTCATCATCTCTCCAGCATCATACCTGTGACTTCTGAACTCTTTGTCCTAATGCTCCTAAAACGCTGCTGTATGTTTTCTGTCCTCTTGCATAGCAGAAGCCGAGACCAATTTCGAGGGAATTGAGAGCAAGTTTTCCTTACGGACGCCTGCAGAGCCCGATGAGGATGTGTGCTATCTGGTTCCTGGGCAGGTGGACAGCCTGGCACAGTGCAACTTCAACCATACCAGTAAAACCTTTGTGGTGATCCATGGGTGGACGGTAAGAAGAAAGGGGAGGAATCTCCCTTTTCACCACACTCCTGACAAACTGTGCTAGATATGTCATCTGAGATTATAGTAACCACAGATAATATTAATATATCTCCTTTTTTAATTAAAAAAACAACAGGTGACAGGAATGTATGAAAGCTGGGTCCCGAAGCTGGTGGATGCTCTGTACAAGAGGGAGCCTGACTCAAATGTCATTGTGGTGGACTGGCTAATTCGAGCTCAGCAGCACTACCCAGTGTCTGCTGCATACACTAAGCTGGTGGGAAAGGATGTGGCTATGTTTATTGACTGGATGGAGGTAAGATGTGTGGTCACATGTCTCACATTGTCCATAATGTCCTAGGAAACAAAGCAGCAATGATGCATCTGTTAATCACCTCCTGTTCTGTAGATGGAGTTAAGCTGTTGCGGCCAGTACCTTTGCTGGACTGGTAAAATCCCAGCTTTAATGGTTATCTCTTGCACAAGGAGGCCTTTTATAGTGCATTCTCGAAATGTCACCTTGTGTTCTGTGGAACCGTTGAGCCTTCAGCATTTCTGAAGGCTCTGTGAGAGGTAGCTGTGAAAGACAGGTTCCTATATATTATACAGCAGCCAGCCCTCGGGAAACAGAAGTCTGCCCTGCCTTCGGGAAATGCTTAAGAGGTCCAGAAACTGGTGGGGTGGGGGTGGCCAAAAACCTTTGATACAATACACAGCCCTGTGTTCCGTCCTTCATTCTGCGTTCCTCTCTGCTTGGATTTTTGCCTTAAGCGAGTTAACTTAAGTGACCTAGTATGGCAAAAATTATGTTAATTGTATTTAGTATTTCTTCTGTTATTCATGGCTGAGAGAAATCCCAGTGTTGACAAAACATTTTCCCTTGTGTCTTCTGATGTTTTTCCATTTGACTTCAGAGATATTGTTCTCTTCTGCAGGAGCAATTCAATTATCCTCTCAACAATGTCCACTTGCTGGGATACAGTCTAGGTGCTCATGCTGCTGGGATTGCTGGGAGTCTGACCAAGAAGAAGGTGAACAGAATTACTGGTAAGAAAACGTGGTTGTAGAGTGGAGAATCCTGTCTCTTCCATGCTGAAATATTACACTTCTCTGGAAAATAAGCAGAATAATTGTTGATTGTTTTGTTGGCAGTACTTAGGTTATGGGTTCATTCTTTATGGAATCAGCAGAGTTGATATTTCTGTAGTAGAACTGGAAAAGGTTCAGAAAAGAACAAGAAAGGTGAGAAGCCTTGATCTGCTTCTGCACAAGAAATGAGTGAGTAGGCAGGGATTTATTGGCCATGAAAAGAGACTAGTTGGTGGGGGGATGTGATCAAGACTGGCCAAATCCATGGCTTGGAGAAGGTCACAGTGTCTCTCTTGCAGCATGAGAACTCCAGATGGTTGTCTTCATCCAGGTGATCATCCCTTGCAGCTGGTGGGAGCTATTCAAAAAGAACAGGAGGTGGATCCTCCTGCAGTGCTTGTAGTATCTGCAGAGCTCTCTGCCAGGATCAAAGGGAGACTAGATGATAATGAGAAGAGATCCACTGTGAGTTGCAAAAAATAAATCCTAGCAGGCTCAAGTAATATTCTAGGCTGAAAATAATACCGGGGGAGTTTTGAGAAGGGAAGTATATATAGGCTTGCCTTGTTCCTATGCATGTTTAAGTGTCTGTTTAGGGTGACTTTTTTGGAGGCTGAGAAGTGTGCCGGACAAGGCAGAGTGTGTGGCCACTCTGAGACTGGCTTACAGCCCAAGCACCTGGGGAGCTGAGCCCTTAGCACCGATCTCGGTGAGAAAGGAGGTCCCAACATCAGCAAATGAGGCTAAGAATATCACTCATCTATGGTGTCTTTGCTGAGAGAGATTGGGAACAGCATTCAAATGGGAGTCTAGCTCCCTTCCACCTGGTTCCCTTTGCCCTTTTACCTGAGCCTGGCTGTGATCCCAGATCCAGAGGTGTGCTGGGGACTGGGCTAGGCAGCAGTCACATCAGGAAAGGCTGACACCTGACAGGTGGCAGATTAAAATCAGGAGGCCAAAGCACTAGTCCATCTACCCTTCCTTTCAGCAGCAGCTTTGTTGCTTTCACTGGTGCTGCCAAATCACCCAAATACCAGTAGCCCTCTGTTACGCCCCCCACAGTCACCCTCGGTGCCCAGGATGAACTTTTCCCTGGCAAGTGGCATCCCCTTTGGGCACAGGGAGTGGTGGGATGTGGTCCCTGAAGGCCTCACAGCAGGGGGAGGCAGCTCAGACTGGGCGAGGCTAACCAGGGGTGGGCAACCCAGGTGCCTGTCCCCCGCTGAGGGACGCAGAAAAGACATGTCCCTTCAGCCATCTCTCAGTAGTTGTCTGGATTCAAGAGGTGGTACTGGTTCACTGGCAGCATAGTTCTGGGTGTTTTTCCATGTCAGTGTTGCTGCGGCTTGACAGTTTGCCATAATAATCTCCTTCCCCTAAGGCATGTAGACAGTGAAGCTCTTGTTTGTGTTTCCCACCTGTTCCCCTAGCAGGGAGTTAGCAGCAAGACACTTTCCACACTTCAGACACTTCAAATAGAAATTTTACAATTCCTCTCGTTCTTAACAAGAGAGAAAGACATTGAGAAAATACTTCCTAGCTTGTTTCTTCCATCCACTAGGAATGCTGCAGCTGTGAGGAAGTTATCTGGGCTTCTTTACGTATGTTTACATACACCTTTTAAAAAGTGACAGCATTTCAAGGGAATGTATTTGATTCTCCTGTATACATGAATGCTACTTAAATGATCCCACTGTAATGTCTGCAGTGACACTGACACCGTATGGAATACTCTGGCCCAGTGTGGTAGTAGAGTTTGGCGTTTGTTGTCACTGTCTTTGGCAGACAATAATCTCGGTTTTCTTTTGTGGTTTGTCCTGCAAAGGCCTGGATCCAGCTGGTCCTACCTTTGAGTATGCCGATGCCCTCACTCGCCTCTCCCCGGATGATGCTGACTTCGTGGATGTCCTACACACCTACACTCGAGGCTCTCCAGACCGCAGCATTGGTATCCAGAAGCCTGTTGGACACATTGATATTTATCCTAATGGTGGAGGCTTCCAGCCAGGTTGCAACTTGGGAGAAGCACTCCGTCTGATCGCTGAAAAAGGCTTTGCAGGTGAGGCTGCTCTGAAACAACCAGTGTAACATCCAAAGGGAGATCTTCAATAGCCTGCAAGGTTTCCTGCAACCAAAGATCTGAGAGGCACAGGAACTTGTTATTTTAAGTGCCTTTAAAAGCCACCCTGTAAAGCCCGGCTCTGGCATAGTGGATCATGCTTGTTGACAGCATTGCTTAGGGGTTTATATCATTACATGAATGTGCGTATACAGATTACACATTTTTTTTCTTTCAAGATGTGGATCAGCTGGTGAAATGCTCTCATGAACGATCCATCCACCTCTTCATTGACTCCCTCCTCTATGAAGAAAAGCCCAGCATGGCCTACCGCTGCAACACAAAGGAGGCCTTTGAGAAGGGTCTCTGCCTGAGCTGCCGGAAGAATCGCTGCAACAATTTGGGTTACAAGGTCAACAGAGTGAGAACGAAGAGAAATACCAAAATGTACTTGAAGACCCGTGCTCAGATGCCCTATAAAGGTAGGTCCTGCTTGCTGACTGGTGAGCCAGACTGGTACTTTTGCCCAGCTGTGTGTCAGGGTGGGTGCATGCTGCTGCTTTGGTGCCTGTGGTGAGCAGGACTGGAGCTTGCCCGCAGTTCACCATTAAGCACAAGCTAAAGTCCAGTCTCAGAAACTTGCTGCCGCCTTCCTTTTTGTATTCTACCCCCCCCTCCACACCTTCAGTAAGATGACACTGTTTTTCTAAGTAGCAAAATTAAGAGCATTTATTCTGCAGCCTGGTCAATTGGAACAAGCATTTTTCATCCAAATGAATTTATCCTGTGAAAACAACTAGCAGAGCTCAGCCTGATGAGCAACTTCTTTAAAGATGTGCAACCATCAGACGTGTGCCTTTTATAGTGCCTTTGCCAGAGGAGCAGCAGCCCTTGTTAAAATATCACAGCGCTTCTTGATTCCCACTGCCACAGTGGTAGGTCTGAGAAAGACATTGCCAGAAAGAACTGGAAGGCTTTCAGCTAGGGTAATAGCTTCTGAGTTGTATCTTACTACTTTATTTTTTTCCTCCCTAGCATTGACTGTGCCACATGATATCCTCATGTGATGGACCAGCAATCAGAGGGCACATTCCTGCAGTGTTAGAACAGCTGCAAAACTAGTGTTTTGTTGGCATTTGGTGCTTAGTCTGCAGTGTCAGTGGGTTGAATTTTTTTCACCAAGGCTTCTGTATGAGGAGGGCACAGCTCACTTGTTTCAAGTCAAGGATGGCAAGTCTTACACCCTTGTAACAGGTTTGAAAGTGATACTGCAGACTTGGTGGTTATTACAGTGGCAGTCAACAGCAGAGTTTAGTTGCAAGAACTACAAAGGTGTTTTTAATCATGATTCCCTTGCATCCTAATCTTTACTGCCTCACAAAAATATTCCCTAGATATCTTAAGGGAACTCAGTTTAGTGATGCTTGCATATTCCAGCCTAGGATTTACATGGGGGTTTTTGGGTGGTTTTGTCACCAGCAGTCTCTTTGGAGGTTAAGTTTTTTCCTAATGGCCTTTTCTTTTGTATTCTTCCAGTCTTTCATTACCAGGTCAAGATCCATTTCTTTGGAAAGACTAATATGACCAAGACAAACCAGCCATTCCTGATCTCTCTCTATGGCACTCTAGATGAGAGTGAGAACATTGCTTTCACACTGTGAGTAGCTACGGAAACAACAGCAATCTACTGTTGAGTATACCTAAATCTGTTTTTTTAAGCCCCAGCTGAAGAACTTGGTTTAGTTCTAACTACAGAAATCTTGCAGGGTCCCAGAATCTGCCCTTGTCCTTGATCAAGGGGATGCATCCACTGCTGAAGCTAATGATATAAGCTCTGTAGCAGCTTTTCTTGATAAGAGATCTGAGATACAGAAATGAGAAGTCTGACCTGTGGCTTAGCCTAGTAAGAATTTTTCTGGGGTGGCAGGTTTCTTTATTCTCTTTTTCAGTATCTTTATGCCACGTTTCAGCCTTGTTAAAGCTCCTTAAAAGCAGACTGCAACCTGGAGTTAATTGCCTAGGTCTGAAGGCCTCAGTGCAGAAGCTGGGGGAGGCATGGGATTTGCTTCCACAGCTCTGCAAATAAGCAGAAGTCTGTGCTTACATCCCTATACCTGGGCTGTCAGGGGATAGGGCTAGAAAGCACCAAAGTCTGTTCTCCACTCTGAGGAACCTAAACTGTTCCTGGCTGGTGCTTCTCTGGTTTCTCTGAGCGCTACCAGCACTGGAGAAGACACCCCTTGCTTGGCAGCCTGTCCCAGGGTTTTACCAGCCTTGCTGCAGAAAGCTTTTCTGTGTGCCTCTGCAAAGGCTTAAGGTGTTTTTTTCCTTATTCCATCCATCAGAACTATGGAGAAGGTTGCTTCCGTCTTCTCTGAAGTACATAACGTCCTCATACTGTGTTTCACCTTAATTTTCTTTATCCAACAGTTCCCTTCTTTGTTCCTTTTTCCTTATTCCCTTCCCCACAGGCCTGAAGTCTCCTCAAACAAGACCTTCTCCTTCCTGATTTACACGGAAGTGGACATTGGTGACCTGCTTATGCTGAAGCTGCAGTGGGAGAAAGACACTTTCTTCAGCTGGTCAGACTGGTGGACTCCTTTTACATTTGACATCCAGAGAGTCAGAGTGAAATCGGGAGAAACTCAGAAAAAGTAACTTGTTTTGATTGTTATAAGCTATATTAGCTTTAATTGACAGTGTTTCCTGATTCCTGGTATCTCACAGGGTGGGACAAAGCATGGAAAGCAGTTACAAATGGGTGCAGCACTGATAATCAGGGCTCCAGTGGCACCAAACCAGCATTTATGTCAGCTGGATTCAGTTATTTGCTTCCACTGGGATCTGCAATCTGCAGTTTTACTCCCACATAATTAATTTGCATACCACTGTCTCACGTGCCTCAAGTTAGTTATAATATGCGGGAGAAGATCTCCATGAACCAGCATCTGACTGTATTTGTAGTTCTCCTTTGTCTTGCTGGACATTTGCACAGGTTTTCTTGCAAAGAGCATGCTTAAAAGGAGGCTTTTAGAAACACTTCCAAAAGTGCATTTGCACAAGAAATCATTGCATTGTTAAGTGGGATTTTCTTAGGAGTTGGGAATGCCTAAATGGTGGGTGAAAACTGAAACATATGAATGTTACAGGACATTGCTAATGTGTGAATGTTAAAATAGCAAAGTCTGAATAAAACTGATTTGACCTGAATTTTTTGAAATACTCTTACTCACTAGACATGAGATCCATTAGCAGAAAATAGACCCAAACAGAGTATGGACGTCGTACGTACAATATCGTAAATAATGTTCCTCCTTTGAATAAACAAGGTAGTCACTTTATCAAAGAACAGTTATCAGAGCTGAACAAATATAGGGTTGGGGAAAGTACTGATAAATAGAAAAGCAACTGCTTAGGTTTGTTGGAATTGGCAGCCTACTTTGTTTGCAAACATTTGAGAGTAAGGCTTTCTTCCATGATCATTCACCTGCCAAAGTCACACAAGGACTGGTGTAAATAAAGATCCAAGAGACTGAGGTAGAGCTTCTGCTCTCTTAGCCGCAAGATTTTATGCAAAAGACTGGTCAAATTTATGACTACAGTTTGAGGTGCATGCATAATGCCTTTGCCAGTTTTTCTTGCACAGTTCCTTTTGTCACAGAATTCTCTTGGAAGTAACTTTCTCACAGGCTTGTGAAGTTGTAGTGCCCCACATGACAAAGTATAAAGACTGCTTCTAAGCACCAGTCCTCTTCCTATGGTTAAAAAGCTGTCTGACTCAGGCATGTAATTGTCCAATATTTATTCCACAGGGTGGTGTTCTGTTCTCGAGATGGCACCTCACGTCTTGGTAAGGGAGAAGAGGGAGCAATATTTGTGAAATGCTTGGAGCAGCCTGTGAACAGGAAGAGAGGAGGGTATGAGTGATCACTGTTGTTTTTGGATTGGGGGGAACTTAAGTGGTAGCAGGAGGATCTAATAAAACATCCTGATTTAGTTGGTTTGTGCACTGGTCTTCTCAAGGCTTCAGAATCATGACAACTCAGACTAACCTGAGGCTGGCTTATGGCAGCTTTGGCTGCTTAAAACCTCCTAATTTGGTTCTCTGCTAACAATCTCCTTCTATGGTTGTTAGCGTGTCTGAAAAGTAGGTACAAGTCACTGCCTTTCACATTCACACGGTGGCCAAGGATAAATGACTGATTCAGAGGGCTTACAGTTGAGACACTTAACACAGAGGAAAGCCTGCCTTCATCTAGAGATGCCTTGCATTTACCCTTAATTGAAGAACATAGAAACAGCCATACTGAGTCAGTCCAGAGCCCTCCCTCCTCGCTGGCCAGCAGTAGATTAGGAGGCTGGTGCAGGTGCTCTCCCTGGCATGCTGTCTTCTGCTGGCAACTGCCAGGTGACTTCCTGAAGTTTGTGTCTCTGATTTGGATCAGAGATGGAGCCTTTGTGTTTAATAGCCCTTGGTGCACTTTAATATTTGATCAATAATTTTTCTGACCCAGAGTAAACTTTCAAATATGGGGACAGATTTATTTGGACTTTATCCACTAGAGTTTGAGCTGGAGAAGTGGTAATATTTATTTTAGTGCAATTGCTGTGTATAAAAGGTCTCATGGGGACACTTCTAGACTGAGATCTAGTTCTGCGTAAAAAGGCATGTGTGCTGACCTTCACTCTGCAGTAATGACGTGGGTAGGCCTTGAGAGCTCTGTGTGTGTATCTGATATGTAAGCAGCCAGGAAAAGCCCAAGCACATAACTTATTTTCCTGTTAAGTAGTATTTTTTTAATACTAAGTCTCAAAAATAAGACAAAAAGAAGTAAGCATCTTATGTCTTCCTCTTCACCTCATCTGTCTTTTTTTTCCACAGTGCCAAGAAAGCCTCTAAAGAAAATTCTGCTCATGAATCTGCTTAAGTGACAAGAATGAAGATTTTTTTCCACACTGGGGAGGAGGAGAGTCTGTTCATCCTTGTGGACTGGATGTTCAGAACCAAATATATAGAAGTATTTATCCGCTGCTGGCTTTTTGCCTGCTATTCCTAGCTATCTTAGGAGACCTCGTGTAAGGAAGTCTCAGCATAAAGTTACTAACAATAAAGATACATTATCCAAATAGTTTAAAAACAAAGAAATCTGCAAAACAACTTGCCAAAGGCTTGAGTGCTGGGAAGGAGTAAGTAATTTTGCTTAATCATGGTGCCTTGTGACAAAGTTTCTTGACCATCAAATCCTCTATAGCAATTTTCTAGTATTTATTGAAAAGAAGCAAAACCCTGCACCAGGCTTATTTTCTTTTCAGGAGTCTTCTGAAACTGGACAGGTCTTTTTCTGGCTTGGCTAACTGAATTTCCAGGCAGTTCAGTGGCTAGAGTTCATTGTCTTCAAGTGTGTGTTTAGCAAATGAGTAGGTTTTTCATGTGAAAAAAAGCTTTGTGTGTATTACTAAAAGGTGTCAGGGACTGTCTTAATATGGGGATGAATTTTCTAGTTTGTGGTTATGAATGTGTTTTACTGGGGGTAGATGCCAGTGCTGCTTAGCAATAGGTATGGTCTGTTAAGCTATATAGTTCTATGCAGCTTACCCTGGAATACATAGCAGTTGTAGGAGAAGACAGCAATACTAGTGTCCTACGCAGACATTCAGCTTTTAATCTGTGCTTTTATTCCTTGAAAATGAAACCGTCTAGCCTCCAACACTGTGTGAATAAGGAACTGCAAAGGAATTGAGCTACCAGAAACTGCAGGACACACTTTTTCTTTCCCACCACTTGATTGCATCCCATATGCCAAAACTGTGACAGTTTTTCTGTTCTTTGACACCAAATGTCAGTCATGCAGCTGAGTGGCTGCTGTATGCAAGTCTTCAGTGCAAGTGGATCTGCTTGACAGGTGACAAGCATGCTCAGGCTTCCTGAGACTGGAATTGTGACTGTGACCCACCTTGGTTTATTGGCTGTGATACAGTGCTAGATCCTAGGAGCTGCATGGTTTTCTGATATGAGGTGGAATTCGGCAAGGAGCAGGAGCTGTGACAGTTAAAAGGAGCCTGATTGTGTGATGCACAAGAATGAATGCTCTGAAAAACACTTGAATTAGACATTCTGCAAGCTTCCAAAAATAGATGCATTGAAGGCATTCTGCTTTCCCTTTAACATGTAATTTTTCAAGTGCTCTGAAAGGTTCAAGAGCCCTCTTTTAGATTTCTAGAAGATAAACAAAATACTGGGGAGGCAGAAGGGCTTGAAGGTAGACACTTGGAGACGTGTAATGTAAGCTATTGATGCTGGGTTTTGTAGTATTTTCCTGCATGTGCAAGACAGTGTGGAGGTGGTGATTTCTCCAATATCATCCAATCCTGAAAGCAAAACCAACATTATGCATTTATGTGCACATTTTTCCAGCCATGGCTGCTAGTATATTTGGGGATAAAAGTCTTAAACAGTGCAATATGCTGGAATATTAATAACTATGAAATTGCTCACATTTGATTTCCTAACCCTTAAACTACAGTAGAGATGTGGTGAGTCACTGAGGGTGGGGTTGAGTATTGAACCACTGCATTTGAGACCTCTAAAAATAAATATAATGATTTATTCCCTATAGACTTCACATTTTATTGCAGTTTTCTCTTAAGAGTTGAGTTCTTTGGAAATAAAGTGTCTGAACAGGTGTGCTCTTAAAACAGGATGAAAAACAAACACATACAGAACTTGGATACAGAATAGTGAAGGTTCTTGTACATGAGGACACATGATTTAGCTTTGGATGTTATTTATTAGCTGTAAATAAGATATTTATGTGTGTAAAGGTAGTTTGTATATATTGCTAAAATTGCTGACAGTCTCTATATTGATACAGTTGTGTGGTATTAATCCTGTATATAGCTTTCAGATTTTTTTATCAACAAACCACTTACACTGCATTATTTCCTATGTGGTTAATGCATTCTTTTTTAAAAGAGAAAGCTCCTCAGTTTTGTACAGAATGGAAACCTATGGTTTTAATAAAATTCTCAAACTGATGCCAAAGTCACTAGTTTCCTTTTGATGAAACAGTTTGCTGTATATCGCTTACGTGAAGGCCATAGCCTTTTACTTGGCTTCTGGAGTGAAAAGATGGGGTAAGATGTATTTTTAAAGCAGCAGGTGATCTTTTTTTTTCTTTCCTTTTTTGGAAATGCAAAAACTATGTACCAAGACATCAAGGAATCACTGTGTGCCAGCGAGTATCCCCATCACAAGAAGCTGGTTACGTGCAGTGTTTGGTTTTCAAGTTTCATACCCTTTTAAGAACTGCCATTACTTCGAAAGGTTCATTCCTCTTTTGGCAAATGTCGGAACTATGCTTCTCTGCACTCGACCAAAATAGAGATGTTCTGGCCCTGTGCATACAGTAGGCAAGCACCACTACCTTACTACCACTGCTGCTTAAGGGCTGAACACTGAAAAAAAAAAAATCACTTTGACCCCCATGTTGTGAGCACAGCTGAGTGGGAGTGGTTGTCACCAGGACACTTTGGTTGGTGATACACAGCAAGGTTCTACCAAGGCACCTGGAAGGGGAGTGCCAGAATTAAGGCAAGTTGTAGTGACATGCATATGTGGGACAATATTAGGGGTATTTAGAGCAGCTCTGAGTTGGCCTGGGAGACTGCTGCTTGGTCAAAGAGACCGCTCTGAGAGGGGTGGTACTTCACTGGTGAAAGCAGAGGGGAGGTATGCAATGGAAAATGGATGGGCATAAAGGATGAATGGAGGGAGAGGGATGAAAGAGGCAAGGGGAGGTGTG